CAATGGGATTAATTTCCACTTGCCAAAGGGAAATCATTTTTTTTTTTTAAATGAACGAGAGTGTGTGTACGTATTGTATAATTCCTAGGAAATTGATTTCTTTACTAATTAAAGGGCAAATGTAACAACGTTGTATTACATTTGGGTGTGGTAACCAAGAAACAAATTAAATTATACAATGATTCCAAGTATTTTTGCGCTTTTGTGGTTACCCAATTCTTCGTATTTTAACAATTTTTTTATTTATAATATAAAATCCCCCTATATATTAATACAGAATGCACTGAGCCTACGTGGCTGCTTCTGGTGCTTCGAAATCCTATGTGGCAAAATTACATGCTTCGTTATTAGGCTTGGGTAAAAATTTAATTTAATTCCAAACAAAAAATAATTAGGTTCAGATTATCATAAATATGTTAATTATTTATGATCATGTTACATGTATTAATTGTATTTTAATATCATTCATTATTATAACTATTGAATTGTATATATATTTTAAAAGTTAATAACTTTTGTATTTCTTATCATTTTTACATATGTAATATATCAAATTAATCTTCTTTTGATAAGCTTCGATTTAACATCCATATTGTATGTATAAAAAAAATAATTTATATTTATCTTTATAACTATAATAAAATTATTTTTAATATTAATTAAAAAAATAAAATTATTTATCAACTAATATATTTATATTTCAAGTAGTTATGTGATATAAGTTATAAAAACTAATGGAGTATAATATAACACATGTAAGTCATAAGTAACACATATCATTCTAAAATATATAGTAATATATAATTTTTTTTTTTAAAAAGTAAACTAAATTTAATATAATTTTCTCATTAATTTTAAAATTTAAGAATAATTTTTTAACAAGCACCCGTGTAATACACGGGTATTGTACTAGTAGTGTTATACTTTTATTTATGTTTTACATAGTCCGAGATAAATAACTCCAGTCCTTTTAAGGTCTTCTCCGATTTGAGCTGTAAATTAACCTTTCGACTCCAAAGTCAATATCTTGAAATAGAAGAATAATATGTTTATTGAACGTAACAGTAGTGATATTAATGAAGTCTTACCTTAAGCTAATATTAGACCTGCAGTGCGAGTGCTACGCGTTGACCTACGGGTCAATGCTCGACCCCTTGAGCCGTACGTCAACCTCTCGGGGCAGTCGACCCACAAATCGGTGGGTGTTAAGGTCGGCTTTCGACCCCATTGACCGGTCTGTGTGAGGGTCGATGCTCGACCCTTCATGTCGGTCGATGTTGGGGTTGATGCTTGACCTTTCGGGCAAGTCAACCCTCCAGTTCTTCCTGTCTCGGGTCGACCTTAAGGCTCATTCTATTTCGGTTTTAAGTATATCTATCCGGTTTTAGTCAAGTCGGTAGGCCCGGTACTAATATCCTTATCAATATTGTTTATTTAAAGCATGATATATTAGTAAACTATGTATATTTATAGGAGCCGTTTTGATGCAAAGATATTATAGAACGAAGAATTTAAGTCAACACATTCAGAGATGCAAACGAATCGAGTCGATAGAGGTTCATTTATCGATATTAACGAGTCGAGTTAAAGAAATTAAATTACATAAAAATATATTTTAGCCTTAACGAGCCGCGTCGATCCCTATTTTCAAGTCTAAATGAGTTGAGTTCGGTTCATTGACTAAACAAAAGTCAAGCTATATGAATGAGATGAGCTGAGATCGAGCCATAAAAAAGGGAGTCAAGCTGAACTAAAAATCACCCGTTTCATTTAATAACTGTAATCACACATTCTTAGTGAAAACATAAACTTATGTTATATAATATTATATTTTCGTTTACCTAATTTTGTAATTAAACTATGACATTTGGGTACGAATGATTGTAAATTTGTCGAAAAATAACTATTAGAGCATCTCCAATATTTCAATGTTGTCATATAATAAATTTTGACAAATGTTAACAAATCAAATTTTATCCTTTTCCTTGTTGAATAAAATA